TAATTGCGATAATTTGAAGTAGCTATATTATCTGCCGTTGGGCAAAAAATTCAATTATTATCATTTATAAATTACTAAAAACATAATATTTTAGAGTTTAGGGTTTTTTGCAATTACCTTGCTCAATTAATTATATATTTTAATTTGGTATCTCTCAACATAAAAAACCTTTTATGGTCTACAACTTTTATTTTAATCATTTTTCTTTAGAATGTAAAAAAACGTTTTACAAGCAAACATTTTTTTTTGTATCTTTTAAGATTGTTAAAAAAAAGAACAAAGCATAATCAACTGTACATCTTAGAGTATAGATACATATAGATACATATTAGAGTATAGATATAGTACAATAGTATCTCTCATACTATTTAGAATTTAAATAACCGTAGATTTTTGAAAACTATTTACCGAGGTTCTGTGAAATACTTTCTTGTTGCATGGTTAAGTTAAATATTATTTTTTTATGTATATTATGTATATAAAAATGTAATATTAATTACATTTTTAATTAACTAATATTTATTGTTTATTGTACAAATTATCTAAAATGTGTATACACATTTTGTACAAAAAAACGTTTTTGAGAACGATTTCCGGAATGGAAATCAAAATGTCAAACACAAGTTAATTAAAAATGTGATTCTTATCACAATTACAACCAATAATTGAGGCGTAATCCCATAAAAACATAATATTTACCTCAAACTATTCACCGATAGCTTGGATTAAACAGGTTGTAAATTGAAATTTATGTAAAATATTCCCCTACACAATTCTCTGGGAAAAATATCTACCTTAAATAAATATATCTAACATTTAGGCAAAGAAAAAACCAGTTAAGACCGCAACGTGTTAGCAGGTCGTTAGCACGTTGACCGAAAACGGATCGATATTTATGTACCTAGATATTATTTTAAGTATTAATACCGGCAACATCTATTGGCTTTAAAATGATAGCAAATACAGTGATTTTAAATGATCGATGTTAAAACGTAGGATTGATGTAAAAAATTAAATATATAAAAAAATCAGAATATTGAAAAACCGACAACGCTGCTAAGCCAACAGAGGTGCACTAAACGAACATACACGACTTATATATAGAAAATAATAGATTTTCTTGGTGATGCTAAATTACTGCAACGTGAAACGAGTTTAAAATGATGGCGGGATGTATATATATATATATATATATATATATATATATATATATATAAATCAAAAACGCCACTATGAGAATTCAGCTAAACAGAGATTTGCAAACTCCATTAATTAGAATTTGTAGAGGTGTCAGACGAGGGGATACAATCTCACTCAAACTATTTACTCTGGCGTTGGAAGACATTTTTAAATCTATAGACTGGGACAATAAAGGGATTTGTATAAACGGGAAATATAATATAAATCATCTAAGATTCGCCGATGATGTACTCCTAATAGCAACAACTACGAATAATGATTTCAGACCTAGAAAAAACATCTCTTCAGAAAGGACAAAAAATGAATCTAAAGAAAACTAAAATAATGACTAATACAGAAGACAGATCAGTAATTAACATGATGGAACAAACATGAACACGTCCAAGAATATATTTACTTAGGATAAGCTATCAGAGCAGACTAAAGAAATAACCAGAAGAATAAGAATGCGGTGGGCTGCATTCGGAAAACTCTCATATAGATAGAATAAAGAAAACTCAAAGAGCTATGGAAAGGCAAATGTTGGAAATATCGTTGAGAGATAAAAAGAGGAACGAGTGGATAAGATGCAAAACCGAAACAACAGACGCTGCCGAACATGCATTGAAATTAAAATGAAGATGGGCTGGGCATAACGAAAGATATCAGGATGGAAGATAGAATAAAGAAATTGGCCACTGGAGACCATATACTGCAAAAAGGTCAAGAGGTCGACCGCAAATGAGATGGAAAGATGACATTAAGCAAAGCGCAGGTCCAATGTGGAAAAGACAAACAGAAGACAGAGACAAATGGGGGAGGCCTATATGCAACACATGAATAGATTTTGGACTATAGATAGATAGAGAGATAGATAGTGGCCACAAACGATGCTACTTTGCCCTCTTCGCCGCCATTATATAAATGACACCCTACCGGCTAAACGAATCGAGCAAGGCGTTACACAGACACATCGTTTTGTAGCCTAAATACACCTCTTTTCACCGTATCAACACTGTACTGTGCAGTAACAACCAATGACTACTATGCCCACAGTGGCCACTATGCCCAATCTTACCCTACATCTGTTGATAAACCGTATAAAAGGAGATTGTTATGTGTGAAACAAAAACAAATGATTAAATCTGTTTATGAGGGTACGTAGAAGAAATTAAGATATGTTTATAGAGGACATCGGGCATTGTGTGGTGATTTAACGAAAGTATCGACTCGTACGGTTTTCCGAATAATTCAAGGTAATAAACCACTTCAAAAACCTATTCATAAAGGACGTACAAAAATTATCTTGGACGAAATTACGAAAAGTATAATCCGAAGGAAAGTTCATGGATTTTATTTTAGGAACGAAAAGCCCAAGTTAAAGTAAATTCAACGAGAAATTATTGCAGATGCAGATGATATTTTACATAAAATATCCATGCGTGTATTACAAAGAACATTACGTTAAATTTATTTCGGTATTCCTTACTGCAAAATAGACGTTTTTTCGTTATGCTGGAGGGTAAAGTAAGTAGGTGGAGAGTTCAAAAAAACGGCCTCCTACAGGGAAGTGTTTTAGCACCAATGCTCTTCAATATATACACAAACGACCAATCTACTCCGACCGAAACCAAGCACTTCCTCTTAAAAACTGACTTAAAAACAGTGACAGCGTACTACCTGCAGAATTCTCTCCCAATCCCTCTAAAACCCAAGTCTGCGCTTTCCACCTTCGCATAAAGGAAGCCAAGCGAAAACTCCAAATTGTGTGGAATGGTAATGCATTAGAACACTCAAACCAACCTATATATCTTGGAGTAACTCTGGACCGGTCCCTCACCTACAGACAACATTGCATAAAAACGAGAGGGAAAGTAACAACTAGGAACAGCATACTCAGAAAGCTAACGGGAAGTAAATGGGGCGCACGTCCTGGCGTTTTAAGAACAACGGCACAGGCACTGTGTTTCTCAACTGCTGAATATGCGTGCCCCGTTTGGAGCAGATCTGCCCACACCAAACAAGTTGATACTGCGCTAAATGAGACATGCAGGATAGTAACGGGGTGCATGAAACCAACGCCACTTTCAAATCTATATAGAGCAGCGGGTTTTGCAGAACCCTCAACACGTAGAGGCGCTGCAGAACAGATAGAGAAAATTAAACATATCGCGGACGATCGGCATGCCCTATACAAAGCTCGAAAACCACGAAAGCGACTAAAATCTAGGAAAAGCTTCCTTGGAACAGTGCAGGATAAACCGCCTGAGTATTTTCCACTTCCCCAGGTTCAATGGACCGGCCAGACCCTAGACTTTAAAACGTGGAAAACCTTGAATAGGATAAGAACGGGGGTTGCTACAGTAAAATCAAACATGGCAAAATGGGGAAAAATAGACCAAGATGATGTGAACTGTGACTGTGGAGAAACACAGAATATGGAACATCTTTTTACATGCAGAAACTGTCCTCATCGATGTACCCTTAAAGATTTGTGGCTCGCCAACAAAGATGGAACCGACGTAGCCCGATACTGGACCGAAATTTTATGAATGACATGTCCGGACACGATAAAGTAAGTAAGTCGGTATGTAAAGAGAAGTCGGAAAAGTTTGTTAATCGAGAGAGACGAACTAGTGATATGGCGGAGGGAATATTTACAAAAAAAATATATGGAAAAAAATAATTATATGGACGAAACGTGGTTGAATGAGGGTCATACTGTTGTTGTGTATTGGCAAAAATCTTATCTTGTATGATACAAAATGTATTTATATTAACGAATGAACCTCGAGAGAAAACCATTCACGTGTATTAGAGTAAATATACGTGCAGATAGCCACAGTTTTAGTGGCATCACTTTAAAGGACCATAATATAACTTTTTGTATGGAAAATAAAATATTTGTTTTTACTATTTTCCTTCAAATTTCATCATATTTTTTATTAACTTTGATAAAATGAAAGGCAGATATCGAGCATTGTTTTATTAATTAAATCTTGCCCAAGTACTTTCGCGTCCTAGAGCATCTTCAGGGACATCTGCCAAGATACGTTTTTTTTTAATAAAGAAATTGATTAACTTCGATAAAAAACTCGAAGTTAATGGATGACTAACCTTAATAGAAAAATAAAAGTTTTTTGTGATTAACGTTTTAGACTTACTTCGTCAAATTTTGGGCTATCCACAGATAGCCTAACAATTGCAGAATATTATAAACTTAAAATTGAACATAACACTACACTAAACAAGGACAAACAGTTTGAAATTATTTAAAAAATAGTGAAAGCTGAAAGAATGCAAGAAATAGACTAAATAATCTATTAGACAGTGGGTGATTGACTACAATAAAAGTGTCTACCAGACACTATCAATACTGTAGAAAAGAAGAAATCTGAATATGAAATTAAAACCAAAATTGAAACCATAATTGGGGTATAATTTAAGTAGTTCAGTTAAACCCCCAGTCAATGGGAGAACTAAAATTAATATGTAAAAGCGTTACTCAAGACCAACTGACCAACAGTGTGAGAAATCGAATCCCAATGCACTAACTAATACGACATTTTTAATCGTGTAAATTTCAAACGCGAGAAATTTAAATAATCTTTAAAAGTTATCTGAAATTTTTAAATTTTCTGTGCATTTTTTTAAAATTTTCTTTCCGTAAGAACCTAAAAAAATAGATTAAAATCGGTAAAGTCGTTTTTAAGTTATGGCATGACACAGGTATTCAGTTTTATATAATAGAATAAATTGACAAAAGTATGATTCATTTAACTTCAGATTTGAATAATCAGCATTATTTATTGTAATTTTAGATAATGATGTATTCTGTGAATTATGTCATAGATACTGGCCAGATAATGATCATAAAGCACATGAAAGAGTCTTACTAGTTGAAAAACAAGTAACAGAGGATAATCAGTATAAATGTAATGCATGTAATGTACTGACCTATGACCTACGAGAAGTTTACAAACATGTGAATCACTATTGTAGGTATAATTTTAAATGTCCATTTTGTTCAAAAGTGTTTCAAAGGAAGTACTCTATAGATCCACATATTATAAGAGCACATCCAGATAAAGAAGGAGCAGTGGTAAGTTTTACAAATCTATTTTAAAAAATAAACATTAGGAAACCCTGGGATATCGGATAAAAGTGAAACTTCTTATGAATAGTACATCAAATCCAATTAGTATCTTATATTACTTATTTTCTCTGATAATTATTTGCAAAGAACCACTCTAACGCTTTCTTGACATGCCTTATATTTGCTGTTTACATGCTTGCTTGATTTTATGTTAATGATATAAAGGATTTACGAGTTGTGTTTGTTCATATTTTTTAGGTATAGAACAGTTCATAAACTTTGTCTTAGCGATGTAAGCAAACAGGGTAGGTTACGAAGTGGTAAGGCAATTTAATTACTGAAGGTCGATTCAGATACATCATTCCCGTCACAGTCCCGACGCTGAACCGGTCCTGTTTGGTCACAGAACTATCAACTATCTGACAGCTGGCAAACTGTTCGTCGCCTGATGAATGTGAATGTCGGCGCCATATTTCTATTAAAGAATATTTTGTATGACGGATTGTTCGGTTCGGCGCCAGAACTGTGACGAGACATGACTGATGTGTCTGAATCGACCTTTAGGCTCCGTTATTACTAATAGTGGAGGATGCGAAGACGAGATCTGTCAACGCATCACAATGACCAGATCGGCAACAGCCAAACTCACAAAAATTTGGAAGAACACTGACATCACAAAAAACCAAAAATTACGCCTTGTTCGAGCATTGATATTTCCTTTCGCCACCTATGCTTCAGAAACTTGAACAATAAAAAAGCCGATTCAAAGCGTATAATGGCATTTGAAATGTGGGTCTACCGTAGGATGTTGCGCATACTATGGACCGTCCATCGCATAAATAACTCAATTCTAGCAGAACTTAACATAAAAACTAGACTTATCACACCTATCAACCAAAATATACTGAGATATTTTGGACATATAACTAGAAGAAGAGAAGGCATGGAGTGAATGATAGTTGAAAGTAACGTAGCGGGTAAAAGATCCAGAGGAAGATCTCCAGTACGATGATCGGTCCAAATAAAGGACATGACTGGTTACTCATTCACAGAATCAAAACAACACACACAGGAGAGAGATAATTGGACAGAAATAGTCAAACAAATTACATGACGCTACTACATGCTTACGAGGGAGAAAATATAGAGGAAGAGGATTTGGAGGATAATTATTAAACAAATATTTGAAAGAATATTTATGCCACATAATTCGGATCAATTGTGATAAACGATCTTAAAGTTCTGGGAAGATCTTTAGCCAATTTTTTTTATTTATTTAGCCTAAGTGCCTCGACAACTGAGACCATTAGCATGGTACAGTTGATTTGTTCTAAGAAATTACAAAATAGGTATTACATTTTATTAAAAAGATTGGTGTGTCTTTGAGGAACTGTAGCACCTTGGTGTATTCACTTGGATAGTTTAGAATATCTGCAAGCGAGATCTTCAAGTTACATTTTTTCGGACATAGCTGGTGTACTGTTGGCAGTCCGTTAATATATAGTTTACGATAAAGGCACAATTGCACTGTTGACATGTTGGACGTTCAGTCAGTCTTGTATGGCCGATTCGTAGTCTTCTTATTATCCGTGATTCGTTACGAGTGAGCTTAGTAAGACTTGGCCGGGTAATTTTAGGTTGAATTCTGTGTAGAACTGTATCACAGTTATTCCAACAAGCTTGCCAAGAGTCTAGGATTGATTTTTTTTAACTTAGCTTTAAGATCTTTGCTTAGTTTGATCGTTCTTGGGCGTTGTTTTGGTATCGAATTAACCGTTTGTTAAAGGCTAAGGCATCTGAACTAGTGGATGATCAGTAAATATTGATTTTAATGAGAATATAGAGAAAAGGAAATCAGTGCACATTGCTACATTTTTGAATGAGGTGGAAATGAACTTAAAGGGTTGAAGGGTGATAAACAGCTCTTCTGTGTGAATGCTGCATGATGAGTGTACCCGAGTGGAACATAAGATCTTTAAAGTAGTAATTGTGCATCCTACACCGCGGAAAGTTTTGGAAGCATCATTGTACAGAACCAAGTCAAAAGGTGTTTGTCTAGTATTTCTACCAAGGCTTCCTTTATAAGAGTAGGGGTAGAGGGTGTGTCATATTTGTTGTAATTGGTAAGAAAAGTATTTGGTCCAGGGAGGGGTGACTGGAGAAGGGATGGACAGGGTGAGAGATAGGTCAATGCTATTTAATAGACGGGCAAGTAATTGCGGGAATGGCTCTATAACTGTGTGAGAGGGGTTTCTAATGGAGTAATCAGGTATAGAGGTAGTATGATGGTAAATGGGGATGGAAGGATTACTTGATGTAGTGGTAGCACAGGTAGTATTAAGAAATGTAGCGATTGTAGACTCATTAGTTTAATGAGCCATGCCGTTAAAATACTGTTGCATATTCTTCTAAACCGAATTAACAAGTGCGAAGAAATAATTAGTCAAGAGCAGTTCGGGTTCCGGAGATGCCTTGGAACTAGACAAGCACTATTTTCTATGCAAACACTCCTTCAAGGATGTTGGGAGGTTAGAAAACCCGTATATATGTGCTTCATTAATTTTGAAAAGGCATTTGATCGCGTTCAGCATACCAGACTAATTACCGCCTTGCAGAGCATCCAACTAGATGAGAAAGACATCAAACTTATTGCCAAACTTTAATGGAACCAAACAGTTATTATTAATACCAACAACAGAGAATCAAAGCCAATCAGTATTGAACGAGGCGTAAGACAAGGCTGTATACTATCTCCCACCCTCTTTAACGTGTATTCTGAGAATCTATTTAGGGAAGCTTTAAAAGATCAAAAAGGAATTATCATAGGAGGAGAAATAATTAACAATATACGGTACGCCGACGATACTGTGATTCTAGCTGAAAACATCGACGATCTGCAGGAGCTAATCAATAGAGTTGACATGGAATGCACAAATTGGGGACTGTCGATAAATATCGATAAAACTAAATACATGGTGACCAGTAAAGTGGATATCGGCGCAACCTAACTGATATTAAACCAACAACCGCTGCAGAGAGTTCAGAGATTCAAATACCTTGGATGTTGGATTACCCAAAATCTAGATCTATCCTTCGAAATTCGATGTAGAATTGAACAGGCAAGAAACTCATTTCAAAAATTCAAGCCTCTATTATCCAATAACTCATTAAATTTGGAAATCCGTGAAAAGTTTACAAGATGTTACGTGTGGTCTGTACTTTTGTATGGATGTGAAACTTGGACTTTAAACGCTGATATCATGAATAAAATCGAGGCGTTTGAGATTTGGTTGTATCGAAGGATACTAAAAATTCCATGGACTAGCAGAACCAGAAACGAAGAAGTTCTTCGAAGAATGGGACATCAACGAACTCTATTAAATATTATTAAGAGGCGTAAACTAGAATATCTTGGACATATAATCAGAGGACCAAGATATGAGTTCCTTCGGCTAATTCTCAACGGTAAAATCGAAGGAAAGAAATTGATAGGACGGAAGAAACTCTCTTGGTTGAGGAATTTGCGGCAGTGGACAGGTTTGACAGCGGACCAATTGCTACACGTAGCGCAAGACCGAGATCAGTATAACAATATTATAAGTATGGTAGTCGCCGACGTTCCCTAGGGATATGGCACTCTAAGAAGAAGTGGTAGCATATTATAGAAGTAGATGTTGTCTTCTAAGGGATAGAGTAGGTTCGTTGCTTTCGCAGTAAAGACTTTCCTGCGAGTTGTTTTTGGATATAATCTAATAGTTTTTGGACAGATTTGGAGGCAGACATGTAAATACAGCAGCCGCAATCTATTTCGGATCGTATCAGAGCTCTTTAGACTGTGAGAAGTACATTCTAATCAGCATCCGCAAGTTGCATCAGCAAGTGTGAAAGATTTTTTATTAGGTTGAGTTGCTTAAGGTAGTAGCCTTTGGTAAAATTTATGTGATATTTTCAGTTTAGTGTAGAATCACAGATCATTCTTCGGGGTCGTTGTTAATTGAGATTAGTGGAGCATAGGATGTGGCTTTTCTGGAGGTTTACTGCAAACTTTAGATTTGTTTGGCGATAAGGATAAACCTAGGCCTTGAATTTTGTTTTGCATGAGATCGACTAAATACTGTAACAGTTGACAGGAAATGTTACTGTTTTCCCATGGCAATAAATAATAAATGAAAAATGGAAAAAGAAAGGTATTTTTGAAGTGTGTAAACAGTTATTAAACATTTATTTAGGATACATAATTTTCAATGAAAAATGTGTAATCAGACCAGCTAAAAATTTCTGTATTTTTTACCAAATGAGATATCTCCTAGTAGTAATAATTTAAAAACTTGACCATCTCTGATGGTTTTGTAAGCCGAAAGCACTCGGCTAGGAAATAAATGTTTACATACTTCAAAAATACTTTTCGTTTTCCATTAAAAGATTTTTCATATGTGTACGAAAACATATCACTCTTCTCATTTATTTAATAGATAATAAGTTCATCTTCTTAACTTTTTCAGAAACTCATTCTGAATAAAACTTTATAATATCGCTGTGACGGTGGAACATTGACGTAACTGCAAATTTATCGAAAATGAGTGCCATGACGGTGCCACATTGACGCAATTGTATTTTATGTTATTGTTGCTATAAGTTTTTTTCACAAATACGCCGAAAAATTGACGTAACTGTCATTTCTGTGTCATTTTTCATCTGGATTTCTCCTTATTGTGAGGCAACATTGACTTAAATGCATTATGTAAGTAAAATATTCACCAAGATCTCCAAACACCAACACTTGGTAATGCTCTCTTAGTCACGAAGGGAAAAAAGACAAAGGAATGTGGATAATTGGTTGAAAGAAAATAGGAAAAGACTAAAGAATTCTGGACAGAGGTATACTTCTAGAACAGGAAAACCTATAGCTGCTAAAAAAATGGGACCTGTGTGTACCAACAAATGCCGTTTGAAATGTCCAAATAGGGTATCTAAAAAGCTGAAAGGGACACAGTTTCAAGAGTATTGAGCATTAATGTCTTTGCAAAGACAGCGAGATATTTTGGCTTCTTGTATTCAGCCACTTGAGTTGAGCTACCGACGTATTTCTACATCAAAAACAACTCATAGAAATATAAATTGTGCATTTTTCATTACAGGCAGGGGAAAACAAGAACGGGTATGTAAAACGTTTCTCATTAGTAATTTTGGAATAACTAAAAAAGCTAATCGCTCTATAATTAAAGCAGTTTCAATTGAAAAAACTACTATTATTCCAGAAGATAAACGTGGGAAGCACGAGAGTCACAAGAAAATAAGTGACAAAATTTTGGATTCTGTTCGTAGCCATAGAAATTCAATTCCGCGAATTGAAAGTCATTATCTTTGAAGTGGTTCTTCGAGGCATTACATAGACGGTGGTTTAATTATTGCGAAATTTCACAAGAACTATATAAAGGAACGAAAAATGCAAAAGAAGAAGAGTCAGCAACCTACGATTGTTATTCTCGTATTTTTAACAGCGAATTTAAGTAATATAGAGTTTTTTATACCGAAGAAAGATTTTTGTGACCAATGCGAATCTTTTAAAAATGCCGGAGCAGAGGAAAAAGAAAGTATAACAATAATTGAAAGTCACTTAGAGGAAAAGGATTTAAGTCGTAAAGAAAAAACCAAAGATAAACTAAAAACAAAACATTCTAATAACAATATACATCTTATATTTACAACTACTTATGATTTACAAGCAGTGTTACCTGTACCAATAGGACAAAGTTCTGCATAAATCTTGCTTAAACTGTGATAACTTCTACAGTAGTAGAAGTAAAGGTGAAAAAAGACCAAGTCTCCGAAACAGATAGCACTTGTGAAATTTATAAAGTTAGCTGTTACTTTTGAAATTAAGTGATGGGGAATAGAGGGGCAAGAGAAATCGGATCTTGCGTTTATTACTATCTATAAACATTGTTAATAACCAGCCCAGGAGTTGATGTGATTTTTTATTCCGATAACTGTGGAGGCCAACAAAAAATAAATTTCTAATAGTAATTACAAATTTCTAAACAAATGTACCTGTTTGCTGTCAATACTTTGGACATCAAATCTATTACTCACAAGTACCTTGTTCGTGGTCACACCCAAAACGAAGGTGATTCAGTCCACAGCATAATATCTGACTTCAAAATAACTGAAGTAATGCTACTTCATAGCTTAAATGGGAAAGATTACTTCCTATATAAAAAAATTATAAACAATCAACGTGGATTGTTTAGATTGTTTGGAAAGTTGATGTTTGCCAAAAAAGAAGCGGTCGGAGTTCGTCGAAATTGTTTTCACATTAATGCCAGGTGCGTAGGGCTTACTCTTAAAAAATTCCTTTAGTTGATAACAAACTAAAAGATTTGAAACAGTTACTTCCAAAACATATAATTCCTGGATTTTGTAAAGCGTTTTAAGATTAAAGGCTATAGCGGGATAAGATGGTCAAAATTGCACCATGCTCGATTCAGTTTTGGGTCTGGCCATTCGAAAGGACATAATTAAAAACTCAGTTAAATTTTCAAGTCCCTAGGTGCCTAGAAAAAGAAAAAAAAATTTAGACGCTGTACTGCTGCAAAAAATCTGAAAAAATTCATGAATGCGTAGTGTAATAATTCAAAACTGCCTGATTTTTTTAAGATTTTTAGCTTGAAAATTGAGCTAAGGAAAAATATTTGGAATTTTCAGTGATATTTTAGGATATGTCGGAAATTTTTGGCTAACTTTAAAACAATGTTTTTTATGGGTTTTTTCTTGTTCTCTCAAATGGCATAGGTATTATTATCATTTTCAACGTGGAAAATGCCTAAAAATCGGGAAAAACTGCTTTTTTGGCATTTTTCTGAAGCACACCCACCCCTTAACAATAAATTGTATGGGCCTAGGAACAAAACAAAAACCAATAAGTATTATATAGAAAACAAAACATTTATTTATACTGCCATAAGATAAGATACTATCAGTTTTTATAAAATAAAAAAAAATATTAATAAAATAAACATAAATTAGGTTTTTTAGTTAGATGGAACACTCATAACCTTAACAACATACACCTAAATTAATGATAATTCATATTTTTATATGTATTTTTACCTTTACAATCGAAATAAGCTATTAAAACTATTATTTTTTTCCTGCAGCATGCTAAAAAAAAACGAAAAACCCCGTTTTTTCGGCGTTGTTTTTAAGCTTTCGCTATATAACCTCTAAATCCAGTATCTAAATGAATGGTAATTTATATTTTCACATGTATCTTTCCCTCTACAATCAAAATCAGCTATTCAAAGCATTAGTTTTATCTCAAAACAGTCTGAAAAACCGAAAAACCCCGTTTTCTCCATGTTTTTACTACATAACCTAAAAAGACTCTGAAAAATGAATCGTGAATTAGAACGCACTTGTACACTCAAGAGTTGTGGAATTATAAGCTAACGAATATATCTACATATATACGTGATATTATATCACAATGTACTTAACTGTTTTGGCCTTCATGTCTTAGCCCTACATCCCGCATATCCAGGGAGCCTCATTGTACAGAAAACATGACGTTGATAGTTGCGCCGCACGGTAGTTTTTCACTAAAACAGCTAATATTATTTTTCGATGGTAGTTATTTAGCTCACCAAAAAAGCAGAAATAATTGGTATCAAAGAAAATCATATTTGGGTAGTTGTGTCACTTTTGTAGTTGTGTCATTGTTCCACCGGGACAGCGATATTAAAAAAATTTCATTAGTTCAACACCTTACTAAAATTAGTTGTTATTTTGTTTTAGACTAATCAAATTTTAAAATGCAAGTTTTGTGAATATAAAACAACAAGGAGTACCAATCTCAAATCTCACTTAGCAACCCACATGAGTATAGAGGATAGACAACATTATAACTGTGATCAATGTAATTTTTCAACTGTGTTTCCCAGTTACTTAAAAAGGCACCGAGTCACTAATCATCCATTGGAATCTGATAAACTTTATACTTGCGATAAATGCACTTATAGTACATATTTATTAAGTCGTTTAAGAAGGCATACATTGAGTAAGCATATAAAAAATGAAGATGTTTGTTTTAAATGTGATATTTGTAACTCTTTATTTGGACGCAAAAGAAGTATGGAACTTCATAAAGTAAGTTTTTGTTATGTCTAAATATTAAATGTAGATTTTAATCCAAAAAACTTTTTCTGATAAGTTGCTTGCTTATCGGTGGCGACTGGTAAGGGAAGGCTACGGAGCGCCGCCGCCGCTACGCGCTTCCTCCCAAAAAAAATAATGTACCGTTCCCGTCATAAAAAACTGGTACAACTGTTATAACCCAAAATCATGTTTTTCAAGTTGTGTAAGTTGAGCTTGTCACATGTGTCATTCTAATTTCGAAGGCAACGTTGTCAGTTCAAGGAAAATATTATATCAAACCAGCTAAAAGTAAGTTTTTAGTACACTAAAAACTAAAACAATATCGAGCATTCTCAATCAGTCAGTGACATTTATATTTATTCATTTATTTAAACATACATCTTAAAAAAGTATATTAATTTTGAAATTTTCCATTATCTCAGTACCCATGCATTGATTCGTGTTTTATTATAATTTATGAAACTATTTCAATTCAAAAATAATGATAGAGAATAAATCTAGTCATGACTTTAAATTTATGTTTAATTTCAAATCGAGAGGTGTGATTGGTTTCTCGTAAAGTGTAGCACAAAACTGTATTGAGTTGTGGAATACTACAATAAATAAAACCCATTGGAAAAAAGTAAAATTTAATTTGAAATTAATAAAAAATGAATAATTTTTACAGTGAACAAGTGTGGGATTTAAATATAATGTATTACAATTCGAAAAGTTAATATTTTGTCATAGCTCCATTATTATTAATCACTTCTTGGAATCTTCTGGAAACTTCTTCTTCTTCTTCTTCTACTTTTTGTAGATCTTTCGATCTGTTTAATTCTGAAGCTGCCTCTGGTTAATTTCTTGGGAGGTAGATTGCCAACTATCCCTCCATCTTTTAGGTGGTCTTCCGGGGGGTCTTGAACCGGGCGGATTGTTTTCTAGGGCAATTTTTGGGAGTCTATTCTCATCCATTCATCTTACATGGTTGTACCACATCCTCTTGCGCTGCCTTCCCCATCTTACAATATCTTGAATTTTGCACTGCTCTCTAATGTTTGTATTTCTCACTCTGTCTCTTCTTGTTTTCCCCATTATTGTTCTTAGGGTTTTCATTTCGGCAACCCTTAGCATCTGTTTCGTTTTGTTGGTATCTTCGCGCACTTCTATGCCATATGTCATGATCGGTCGTATGCAAGTCTTATAGATTCTAATTTTACTATCTGTGCGCATATACGGATTTGACCAGACTATCTCCCGCAGACATCCTGACAGTGCAGATGCTTTGTTGATTTGACTCCTCAGGTCCTTTACTGGGTCGTGGGTGCTTGATATATCTATGCCCAGATATCTGAATTGCATCACCTGTTCTATGGGGTTGTCCTCAACCACTAACTTACATCTGAGCGGATCTTTTGCTATTGTCATACATTTAGTTTTGTTGGTAGAGATGTTCATATTTAGTAGTCGGCTTGTTTGAAAGAACTGAAAGAGCTGCCTTTGGAGATCATCTTCTGATTCGGCAATAATTGCTGCATCGTCTGCGTAACACACCATACCAATTCTTTTGTTGCCCATTCTATATCCGAGATTAAGAGATGTTACTTTGTTGATAATTTTGCCCATGAGAAGATTAAACAAGAAGGGGCTTAAACTGTCGCCTTGTCTAATTCCTCCCGGTGTTGGAATATTTTCAGTGAATTCGTCTCCTGCTCTAACTTTGGTTACGTTGTTGTTATTTAGGTTATGGAGTATCTTTGTTATACTGGTCGGTGTTTCATTTTCTATTAATATATTTAGAATGTCTCCCAGGCGAACTCTGTCAAATGCCTTCGTCAAATCAATGAAGCAAATATACGCTGGCATGCCGAACTCTATAGCTTTTTCTTTTATTTGTTTTATTATAAATACTGCGTCTGTTATAGACCGCCCTTTTGTAAAACCTTGTTGTTCTTCAGCATTAGTGATTTGCTTTTCCAATTTGTCCTTAAGAATACCGGTGAAAAGTTTCATTGTTGTATTTAAGAGGGTTATTCCTCTATAGTTTTGTGGGCAGGTTTTTTGTCCTTTTTTAAATATGGGGATTGTGATACTATTATGCCATTCCTCTGGTGTTTCTGTTTTGTTTAATATTTTGTTAAATAGTTGTGCCAGTTTACTTGCAAGTTCCGGGCCTCCATATTTTAAAAGTTCATTGGGTATACCATCCGTTCCCGGTGATTTTCTGTTTTTTAGCTTTTTGATCTTTGCTTCTACTTCTTCGTCATTGATTGTAGCACTCACATCTGTTTCGCCTTCGTTTATATTCAGCGTTTCTTCAGCATCATATAGCTCTTTAAAATGCTGTTGCCATGTCTCTATAGCTACTCCTTTGGTCTGCACGAACTCGTTAACTGGTTTTTTCCTGTTGCGGAGCATTTTCCATACTTTCTTTTGGGCACCATATAGGTCGTAGTCCATGTCGCAAGTGAATTTGGCCCAATGTTCTCTTTTGATTGATTTTATTCTGGCGTTTACTTCGTTTCTTATTTGAACATATTCTGCATGAGCTTCTTCCGATTGCGTGCTTTTATATCTCAGGTAGCATTTGCGTTTTAATTCAGAGAGTTCTTTTACCTCTTGGCAAAACCACGGTTTGGTGTGGTTTGTCGCTCTCGTGTTAATTTTCCGCTTTCCAATCGCTTCTTCTGCTGCTTCGTTGATGCATTTCTTAATTTTTTGCCAAGTATCTTCTACTCCCCATTCGGGTTTTAAGTCGATCTCTTTTAGTTTGCTGGTAATCCTGTTCTCATAGAGCAGTTTTGTACTCTCTGTTGCTAGCGACTCTATATTATGTTTTTCGATGAACATTGGGGGTTTTCTGTTTCGTTGCGGACGTTCTAGTAGCATCTTACATAAAACAAGGTTATGATCAGTCCCCAGGTTAGCAGATGTTAGTGCTCTGACATCAAGTACTTGTGACGGAGTTATCGCTCGATTTGTGATTATAAAATCTATCATTGATCGCTGGCCTCGATTATTGTTAAAAGTATATTTATGTTGGTCTTTATGAGGAAAGTATGTATTGTTGATTCTCATTTCATTTCTAGCGCAAAAGTCTATTAATGCTTCGCCGTTTTCATTAATTATTTCTTCGTTGTACTTTTGTTTTATACCTGGTATGATACCGTTTCCGATCCGTGCATTAAGATCCCCGAGTACGATAATTTTGTGTTTCGTATTTATATTATCTACGACGTTTTGTAGTTGCTGATAGAAATTTTCAGTTTCTGCTGTGGGCTTAGATATGTCTGGGGCATACGTGCTTATCAGGTGTGTTGTGATGTTACGCATTTTTATAGAGATTTTTAATAATCTATCGTTGATGTATTCGATATCTTCGATGTTTTGCGAGTATTTATCGTGCAGCAAAATTCCAACTCCTGAATGCGCTCTTTCTTGTTTAGCTTTCCCGCTGTATATGAGTATAAATTCTCCGTATTTTGATGTTGCTTGGCCTTTTTTCTTTGTTTCGGAGATTCCGCAGATGTCAATATTGTGTTTCTTCATTTCTATTATGATCTCCTGGTCTCTTCCGTTCCACGACGTAATATTCCAGCACGCGATTCGTGTGATGGGGTCATTAGGTTTTCGTTTACCAATTCGTTTTTCCATTGTCATAGCGTGTGTCGTCATCTGATATTTCCGTCCGGTATCCGAGGCTGAATCTTCAGTTCTGTGAGCCAATATGGGTTTCTTTACCCCAGGTAGGTGGCTAGTCTTGCCATGGGGACCCTCCTCCTTTATCCGGGCTTGGGACCGGCAGTGTCATCCGATGAGCTACTCAATCCACCCATCAGACAACCCAGGCGGAGTTTCTGGAAACTGAGTTAATTAAATTTAGTGACAAATTTTCATCTTCGGCCAAGCTTTCCCAGGTTTCTTCAATGATGGTGTGCATAAATATGATCTCTGTATTGGGGAACTACATTAAATTTTTGTATTTTGTTGATCATAAGTCCCCAAACGTTCTCTATTGAATTAATATCTGGACTTTTAGAGGGCTATGGAAGAGCTACAATGCTATTTTCCATAAGATAATTCCATAGGTACACGGTGGGCTGTGTGGATTGAACAGTTATCATGCTGGAAAATAAAATTATTGTTGGGAAAAATTTTCCTAACCGATGGCAACATCACATTATCTAATATAGGTTATAATGTAAATAGGTTTCAGTATTAAATCGTCCTTTAATTCAAGTTGTATTAACTTTTGCTTTCCTTGCTGTCCTTGGGATACGCTCTTAAATAATTAGTTAATGTTTCATCTTGTTGGGCTGTAGTAATAACTTATCTTCCACTCCCTCTCCTTCTATCCAAAGTCAGCTCGTTTTCACATCTTTTTTTAATGTTGTGGATTGTGGTTTTGCTTCTATTTAACACCTTGAACCAGTTGTCGAATAGACCAACCATCTTCTATTTTTGAAATTATTCTCGTTTTATGAAACTGACTTAACTGACGTGGCGTCTTTAAAAATTCACTTTAACAAACTTGTCAAATCTGACTGATGGCAAGCAATATTTTTTATGTTTAATTGTTCGGATATGTTCAGGAAGTTTTCAAGCACTGATAACATCTGCAGATACTAAACCAAGATTTTTCAGTTATAAGAGGTTAATGTAATACTGTCACGTTTTGAAAATCGTTTTTCGTCCCAGTTTATAATCTACGTAGGATGAAATATAATGTTAGTGTTTCACATTTATCGTTCATGTAATAAATAATAAATTGATTTAGGTAGTTTGCCTGTTACTAAATTTATTGACATAACACACAGTTAACAGTTTGTGTTCTGTAAGTAATTGAAGTATAAAAGTACAGTAGATGCATTCCAATGTTCCCTCTGCCAATACCCTAAGTTTAAAGTTCAACATTTTGGACACTAACTCAGTCCTCTTTCTGGTTATTATATTTATTAGATACGGTTTTTTGTTGTTAATAATAAAAATAATACCTATGTAAAAACTTTATA